CCCTGAGATGAGGATTAAAGCATGTGGGTGTTGTGTGTGCAGCCGAGACACGGTGCCCTGCGCGCGCTCGCATGCAGCAGTAGCAATCGGCGGAGGGATTTATGTACACCATCACCACGATTACATGAGAGTACTCCCTGGGAATATAGTACGGCCATGCACTGACAGCTAATAGTTCAATGTCTCTGCTACAGAATTTTTCCTCAACAGTAACATGTCCGGGATTGCACCATCTGTTATTTATGTAAACAGAACCCCCCCATCGCTCTCTGCTGCGCTTCGATCTGCACAAACTAGTGTGAATCCATGTAGGGAGACCACAGAATCAGAAATGTCCTTGTTCATCCAGGTCTCGGTGAAACACATAATGCTACTCTCCCTGTACACCTTTTCCACTCTTGTTAGCGCCGTTAGCTGGTCCATCTTGTTGGAGAGGGACTGGACGTTTCCCATAACGACAGATGGTAGACATGGCTTGTACCTCCGTTTCCTCTCTATACAGAACCTTGTTAGGTTGTCCCAAGGTTCTGCATAGGTGAACCAGTCTTCCATAATTGACCCTTTCTAATGAGAGGTATTTGTTTTTGTCTTATCAACTGAGACAAGACCAGTCCAGCTTTAAGGAGAATCAGAAAGTGTCTGATGTGACTGGTGCAGAATCAATAATTATGGGACTGGGGGTTTTTCTCTGTGGCCTCATTTACTTTATTCAGGGTAAATGTGTCTTATAAAGAGGAATGTGCTTTGAACATTTGCTGTCATGCACATTTGGTCCTTTAAATTCTTATAGGACATATATGGATATGTGTGTATCATGCTATAACATGACTTTGGGTTCAGTGTCTTTGTTAAGCACACTAACACATGGACAGGGCTTGTACTATGAGCCCTGAGCCACAGCTGCCCAGTGTGAAACTGTACTGTGGATTCAGGTGTGGACTGGTGGAACTTGCTGTACTAAAGAGTGATGATGTATTTAGTCATATTTTGTTTAAATGTATTCTTTTAGTCCTTATGTAAGGTGTTACTGTAGCTCCCGGTCTGTATGATCTATTATTAACATCAATAATGCTGTTTATTTTATAACATACGATTATTAGACCAGTTAGAACAATGTCTACTACTACTGGTACAACTTTTCTAACAGTACAATCTCAACAATGTTTTGGTAACAGCATCTCAGATTGTTTTAGGTTCAGTTACACTACATTAATGTTGGTTTAAGTTAAGGTAGGTCAGACTCATTTAGCTTGAGTTCATGTAAGTGGAGTTATGTTAGGTGAGGCTTGATTAGGTTAGTCTGGGTTGGCACAGGTCAGGTGAGGAGAACGCACAGCACTATTTCATTGTTCTCTTTTGTTTTAGGTTTATATTGTTTAGATTAGCTTTGATTTAATTAGGTTGAACTATGAGAGGCTAAGTGGGAATAGCTTAAGACCAAGCACAATGTGCACAACGTCTGTGGAGATTCTCAGTCATTCAGGTCATGGTTGGTTCAGTTGTCTTGTTTGAGTGTTTTAAGTGGTTGCAAGGGCATTTCTAGGTGGCTGCCAAGATCATTTTAAACATTTTACCTTTTTATTTCCCTCCATTTTGTCCCCTCTTTTTTTTTAGCTGCTCTCTCTTTTTTTGTTTACCCGACATATACGTGATTGCGTGTATTTAATACAATTTGTAGTCTCCTGAATTTTGATTTTGGGGGGGCATGTGGGGCTGTAGTGGGGAGATCAGTTATCTCAGGTTATATCAGATTGCTGGCTTATTTAGCTTTTAACAATGAAGAGAATTCACAGTTCCAGAACACTTACTCTGCCAGCGTACTCCATCAGAACTGTTTGTTACAGATGGAAAGATCTGACTTTATGAAGCCGGCTTCACACCCACAATGTTTGCTGTTTTGCTAATATTTAACCAGTATCATGTCTTCCTCATCATACATGTCATGGCAATCAATCTATTAAGCCCTTTCCAGACATTAATGCTTACCAGGGGGGTATTGTTTTATTAAAACACCTTGGTAAATGGACTGTATTTATATAGCACATTTTTTCCACAGTGTGTTGCACTGGCCAAAGCACTTTACAGGAGATGATACACCATTCACACACAACATTGACAACAGGCTGCCACACAACGGCACTAGTCAAGCCATCCGGAGCAATTCCTGGTTCAGTGTCTTGATCAGGGACACTTAGGCATGCGGGGAGACCAGGACTCGAACCACCAACTTGCTGGTCAGGAGACAACTGCCCTACCTCGTGAGCCACAGCCACCTCCAAGCCAGCCACATTGTTTACATTCACCATAGTTCATGGGTGTTCATAGTTCTTTACATTAGTCCTCTGACCCCTTCTCTGTGTCACCAGGTACGATGAGGAGCAGGCGCAGAGCGAGAATGTGGACCGTGACCTGCGTAGTCGCTCAGGTCAGTCAGTGGGGTCAAAGGGCACCAAAGGGAGCGCAAGCGTTCGTCCCCCTGCTGCCACCTGGAAGTGAGGTGATACTGCTGAATCATAATGACTTCCTGTAGAATATGTCAGGGTCCAACAGTGGGGACAAGGGGGATAAGAAAGAACCACCCAGACTGTTTTTAGTCTAACTATCCAGTGGAGGATTGCTCTCTTCTTTTCTCTCCATATGTCACTGACTGAAGCACAGGGAGAAACAGCTATACTGCTGGTGGGGAGAAAAATCAAATATGGGGCCATTTGGAGAATTTAAACGCTGGAGTTTGCAGCTATTTGTATGCATAATGATGAAGATCCCTCTCCTTGGATGGCTAGGGCTTCAGTAGGAGCTGCAGGTGAGACAATGGTAACTATACAAAATTTAAAATGAAATTTGTAAATTGAAATTCATCACTGGGATTCAAATAAACTGATAGTCAGTGGATAGTTACTGGGGAGAATTGACAGTACTAAATGTGTGGAGGCCTGAAAATGGAATTTAATAGACTAATGTTTTTATAAAGTCATGACCAGTGTGTTTATGCAGGAGGTTTAGTGTTGAACTCTCTTGCACTTTGTTACTTTATTATTGCTATTTGCTATTCTTGCATATCAAATTGGACCACTGACGTAATTTCTCTTGCACCTTTAAAATCTTAAATAATAATATGTGCTGGAAATGTATGCATTCTTAGCAATCGGTGGTTTATTTTCTGCAACTACTGAAATACAGATGCTGAAAAATTGAATGTCTAACGTGTTTGTTTAACATGATTTTAGAGAAACAAGGGTGTTGATTCAGTTTCCATCAGTATACTCACCCATCAGTTGAGGCTAAATGATCAAGATCTTCATAAAAATGACTTTGTTTCCTCAAAGAGCATCTTTTTTAATGGATGAAAACAGGTAGTGAAAAGCATCCAGACAACATGTTTTTGTACCTGAATTGCGATGAAATCCACCTGTTAATACTGAGACAATATTGCTCAGCCCAATTCCTGATGCAAAAATCATGCTGCTTTTATGTCCGAAACATTTAGTGATTTTTGGTTTGAAATAACACAGTCCTCTTTACGTGCTTTTTTTCTTTACTTGATATCATTTTATTTTAACCAATTTAAAGAATGGAGCTGGGTTTTTTTGTTCTTTGTCACTTCAGTGGTGAGGGGCCCTGTAGCCTTTGATGAATCTAATCTGTCTGGAGTGTAGATTAAGCAGAGGCCAGTCCTAAAAAGAAAAATGGCTTTCTATGGTTTCACTGTTGCTGCGGCAGTAAAGTAGGTCTCTGTATGACACTGTTCCGTGACCTTGAAAGTCTGCCACTTCCTCATCGCAGCACGTTTCTTCTGGACCTGCAGCTTGTTACTACATGTAGAACAGCAGCTTATCAAGCTGCGTAAGTCATACACATGTTGGTAGCTGTGTCCAAATTCCTCTAAGCACCTTATCTGTATTAGTCATTGTTGGGGAGGAGAGATTAAATTATGTCAAGAGCGTGTCTGTTTTTATTTTTGCAGTAATGACATTTGTTTGTATGACATTCATTATTCCTTTTCATTTTTGCCTTTCTTTTAATAAAATATCCATGTTGGTGCTGCCTTGACAATGTTTATTTTCAAGCAAGAGTAAGGAGGAAACATGTTTTTATGATTTGGGTGGGCTGTTCCTTTTAAAGATTTACAACAATTTAGAGCATTCTTGGAGTATTAAAGATTTAGTAACAAAAAAGGTTCTTCAAATTTGTGGACAGTTTTCTCTCTTGTCCTCACAAACTGCTAGTGATAATTTAAATATACAACTCTACATTTGACAGTGGGCATTTCACAACTCTGCATTAAATATATCAGTTCTGTGCCTGTGCCATGAAGAAAAAGTATATTTGCAGTGGATGGGATTCATTATAAGAAACATAAGATCATTTAAACTTACTGTTCAAAAAAGGCACCTGAGTCTCTCAAACAGTGAATTTGTGTTTGCATACCGTCACTATAATTTGCATGATACATATACAGTATTTGTGCAATTTACTTTACATCTAAATACAGTATGTGCCACAGTTGCTGTGTTATTTAACCTGTATATGATCTATGACATAAAAAACCACTGAATATCTGAAATTGGTTGCCATAGACTGGTATTTTTAAAACTTTAACTAAGGCTCATTGTCAGCTGGTTTAGAGTATTTGGTTTAGTCTTCAATTTTTGGAATACCAGTGTAGCATAATATAAAAATAAAACAATATACAGCAGACACTGCAGGTAGTGCTGGGTCGTTGGATGAAATATGCTGCTGTCATGTGTAATGTGCATTGTGCATATCATGGGTATTTGAAGGCGAATGTAACAAATGTTCACACGTCATCATCTAAGACTGTTTTAAAAATGACCTGAACTGAATTGATAGAATAGTGTTAACTGAACAGATGGGCTAAAAAACAAGAAATCATCCTAACCAATCCTTTGATGAGTTTAAAAGAAATTCAACTATTCCTCATTTTGTCAACGACCACTGGAAGCCTCTCAATGACCTCTGAAGGTCCCCAAACCTCATAGTGGAAATCATTAAGGTGCTTTTGGATAAAGTAACCAGAAAGTTTTCAGGGGATGTGACGTCAGAAGGCGCACCTCGGCACAGTTTGCGTGAAGTTTGCGTTAAATAACACAACATCGGAAATCGCTTGATTTCAAAATAAAGGTTTGACACTTGGTTTCCATTTCGCCATGGACGCCTCATTTCCAGAAACAGCTGTGGTTGTTGCTTCAATGGATTTTATCCAGTTACCACCTAATGTTCTATGTTGTTTAGTATGATAATGGAGTTATTTTTTTACATTATTTCGTAACCCTTAATTTATAACTGTGGTACACGTTATAGTAAAATACTTTAACAGAAGAATTTTGTCAGATGTTTCCCATGTATTATTACTTGGTGAGAAATTATACAGATCTTATACTTTAGTAAATGTAGCTGTATAACTATGTAGAAACAATCTGTTACAAGTTAAAGTTGTGTAAAAATCTTACTTGAGTAAAAGTAAGTTACAAGTTAAAGTGTAAAAATCTTACTTGAGTAAAAGTACAGAAATATTATCACCAACCTAGAAGTGGAATGCTCATTATGCTGCAGACTGGTCCCATCAGAATTATGTTATTATATAGCCTATTGATTCATAAATGGATAAGAAGCATTTAAATGTACAGTAGTATCTTTTCTAAATGGAGATAGTTTTACAGGAGACATATGCCTATAATGTATGAGAGTGTTGATTTGTTCATTTCACAGTATATGAGATATAATGTGTTAGGCATATTTATTTTACAATATGTTGGCTTCACGACCGGACATTTGCATAACAATATTCAATCATTCATATTCTAGGGAAGCTGTACCTATAGGGAACACTGTTTATAAAGTAGGGATAGTTGTACTGTACGTTTTGTATGTCTCAGTTTGCAATGTAACTGAAAAAATGACTGCATCTCTCTCTGAAATCGAAATACTAAACGTAAATCCAAATACCTTAAAATTGTACTTAAGTACAGTTCAATAAATGTTCTGAGCTACTTCCCAGCACTAAAAGACGATAGTATTCGTTTGTCGTCTTATTCTGAAAACCTTGTCCGGATGTGCAGTGCCTTACTGTTAGCGAACGGACGGTTGTAGCAGTCAGTCGATCGATGGTACCGCTGCTTAACGCAAAGACAGGCGAAATAAATTGTAAATTGTAACCAAAACGACGTTTAATCTCTCAGTTAATTATAATCTTTCAAGAGGAATAAAAGTGTTACAGGTAAGCTTACACGGATACTTTTACATAGTACAGTTTAACTTTTTACTGAAGGTACTGGATGTTTCGCTAACGTTAGAGCTACAGGCTAGCCTTAAAGTTGAGTTACTTCCCGATGGAAGGAGGCACATTTGATGTTATAAAAACTTTAAATGAACGATTAAGTAAAAGTTGCACTAATGACAGTACGGTAGGTGTTTCACGTGTTTTAATAAGATGTGTATAAGTAGTTCACCACTGACTGTATCTGCCGACAAAAGGTTGCGGTAACTTTGGCAATCTATTTCAGAGCCTTAGAAGTCCACAAACATAACGTTAGACTAGCACCGTTAGCTCATAGTTTAGAAAATGGCACTAAAATTAATGTGGGGCTGTATGTTCTATGTATTACATGTACATGTCTTGTAAGTTGTCTGAAGACGTTTTGCCTCAGCTGTCTAGTTTTGGCAGAGACAGACGCTTGTTTCATCGCACGGAGTGGTAAAGGGCGGGGCAGGTTTCGCAAGTAAAGATAACCTCCAGGTCCATGACATGTTATCCCGCATGGTATGCTCACAGAATTACATAACTGCATCATTGCTGTGGAGGATTATGGTGCAGTTAATGCTCAAGCTCCATGCTCTGTCCAGTGGGTGTTTCAGTTTGACCCCATATTCCATTTTTCTCCCCGCCAGCAGTATAGCTGTTGCTCCCTGTGCTTCAGTTTGTTCAGTCCTGACTCCTGTACTACACATTTAACCTACTTGGTATTTACAAAAAGAAATGTTAAGTGCTTTTTAGACTCAGGGCATTGGTGGCTGTAATATGTTGGTCTTTTACAGTAAGATATTTGTCATCATGAGGTCATTAATCATGTGAAGAGAGAACCTGGTCTGTCTCATGAGGATGACAAGTCAATACTCATGATATTGTAATGAATCAGTGGAAGTTATCAGTCATCACAGTGGAGAGCTTGAAATTTTAGACATGCTTAGTGAGGTTTTGTAATAATGTGGGTTGTGTATGTAGGAGATGTGGTGTTGTCAGAGTAAAGCAGTAGTGAAAGCTGTGTTGGTTCCCTTTTTCTTGGGTTGGGTGGGGGGGTCAGGTGAACACAGAACCGTGCTAAACTTTGAATAGGATTTCCAATTTAAGCTAAAGAGTCCCTGCGTCCTCATATGAGGACCGCACAGCTTGGGTTTCCAAAGCTCAGGACTCTAGAGGTTAAGCTAAAGGCAAAAAACAGGAATACATGCAATTCATGTAGTTAGTGAACATCGAAAGCAGAAGGAGTTTTTTTTACACTCTACCAAGTTGACCACAGTTGGTTTTTAAGCAGAAATGGAAAATAATAACTGGGTCCCACATTTAAAGTGTGAATATTTGCTGATTTTCTGCAGTAATGATAAAATGAACATCATTTGATTTTGGACTGTTGATCAAACAAAATGGGCAATATTAGGGAAAATGCCATGTTTTTTTTCTCATTTTCTTTGACTTTTATAGACAATGTTAATTTATCTAGAAAATTAGAGCTGTAATGATTAGTCAGTTGACAGTTTTGACCATTAGTCATTTTTTAAGAATAATGTCAAACATCTTGAGTCATTTTTATATTGTAATAACACTTTTTATACATAATTTCTGCCAGCTTCTTAAATGCAAGTATTTTCTGCTTCTCAGTTCTATATCGCTGGTTTTTATATTATTGTAAACTCAATATATTTGGGTTTTAGGACTGGCAATATAAAACAAGACATTTAAAGATTTCACCATAGGCCCTAGGAGATTATAATTTCCATTTTCCTGACATTTTATAAACAAAATAAATGATTTATTTAGGAAAATAATTGTCAGAGTATCTTAATGCTTAGTTGCAGCCCTTATTCACAGGCCATATGGTTACTGGATTATAGCCTAAAGTAAAAGAACTTAAAATTATTTCAAATGCCTAACTGTGATTCTGTCTTTGTGGGTGA